AGATGCCAGAACGGGACCAATAATATTGCTGATTCTTCTTTAGATTTTATCAAGGATCTCTTGATATATAGCAGGAGCACCAGACCATATATTTAATAGTCTTTCCATTTCATGTCAGCTGCGAACTTTAGCTCGAGAAGACGCAACGAATCACTTTCCTGGAGGATATATGAGCCATCCTGATGGAAGACAATGTGGGGTTTCTCAGATGATTAATGGAGAGAAGTCTAGTTTTGGAGGCATTAAAATTAACAAGCCATTCTTTGCCCCTGTTAACAACAGATTGAAGGTCGTTTTTGAAATCAGACGCAAAAAAATATTTTTAAATTTATTTTGTTTTAGAAGAAATCTTTGTTGTTTTATTTTAAATATGTTTAATCTAACCTGAGTGATATATTGTTATTGTTTAAATACTTAAAAAATAAATATTTTTAAAAAATCTAATTTTTGATTTTTAATATGTAGAATTTCAAATATAGTGAAATCTCCTTGAGATGTCTTTAATAAGTTATATGTTTAGAAGAGATTCTTAAATCAAAATGCTTGTAGCATCAATGATTTTATGTTGTTTTTTTTTTCAGTCGAAGAGAATGAATTGAACAAAATGAGATAGATAGATATGAAGATAGATAAATAGATACGAACAAGCTGGAAAAGAACTGATGGACAAAGAATAGAAAAATAGTCTCTTTTATAAACTGGGTAGTCGGATATTTTTATTACCAGAAAATTATATAAAGTTCAGCGAATGAGTGGAAATCGATCCTAAATCTGTTCAAGGCGATATTTATTGTTGCTTGAATATATTTATTAAAAAAATGTGAAAATAAATAGTTAATGTCGACTGTATTAAAATGAAGAGCTTTAAACTGTGGCACTTAGGGGATCCAGCCTGCACATTGAACCAGCGAAAGGATTAAACTCAATCAAGAATAGACAAATATAACGAGGAAAAAAGGAAAAAGCAATGTCTACAAAATGACAAAAGATGTAAGAGAATTACTTTTCATTCAGTTCATTTTCCATTTCAAATTCTTCGTTTCGTTCTGAAAAAAAAATCGAATTCTAAGGCAACTTGGTTTGATCCTCTTTCGGAACTGGAACAATGACGGGAAGTTCCAAAGAAATCCGTTCAACAAAATAGGATTAACCTAATCTAAAGAAACGGATTCAAATACGACACACAAGCGTTTCAAGATTCGACATCCCGATTTCACCCAGACATTGCCTTCCAATCATTCACCGAGCTTCTTTTTTTTTCTTTTTTTTTTCTTTTTTTAACTTCCTTAACTTGATCCACTCCAAAATAATCTTTCTATACATGAACAATTGTAATCAATCAGTGGTTTGGATGTGTGTATTTTTGTAACAAAGGCATATGGGAAATATAACATTGTAAAGATGATGTGTATTGCAGAACAAAGAATTGTGGGTCTTTTTCATAGCTTCTAGGTCTCACGAGACTGGAATGATGTTCTAGACAACAATAAAAAAGATGAAGGGCTAAAAAAGGTAAGCAGTACAACATAGTTGCCTTTATGGATTTTTTTTTTTTTTGCATTTTAAAATCGCAATAATTTTCTTTTTTTTAATTTTGGCGTTGATTGCAAGAGAAATGCCTTAATATAACAACATGAAATGAAAACGCCTAAAACCAGTTTTAAGTAAGCAAAATTAATTTTCCCTTTCTTTTTTATGACAAGGTATATGTTTTTTTTTTTTTTGTAATTAAAAGTGGAATTCAATCTTCAAAGACGATATTTTAATCATCGCAATGCATGTGAATATTGCAAAATGATATATGTGAGGATAGCAAAAAGGATATTGAGTTATATCAATAAAAGAAAGCAGGCATCAAAAGTCGGACTGACAGCATGTATTCATCACAACTAAGGCTGTAAAATATTTTTTTTTTTTTTGTTTTTTGTTTTTTGCATTTTTCACAGTAATCATATAAGAGTATGTGATAAGCAAAGAAATGGTAACATTATGGACAAGGAACTGGGGGTTCATTTTTTCTTATCGATATGTTTATTTGTTCAAAATATATAGTAAACGAATAAATACTGGAAAGTGTTGGAAAAACAAACACGGAACTATTAGCAAATATTATCAACTTTCATCCTTTAAGCTATGAATTATATTTTATTCATATATAAATACTATTTAAATGTTATGGCTATTGTCACTTGAAGAGTAGAAAACAAAAAAAAACAAAAAAAAACAATACAACTCAAGATATAAATATTTATGGAGAAAATTAAAATTTATCATTCTAGAATAGTTGCAACAATGCAAGCAAAGCGAAGAATGAAATGGTTTCCTGAAATAATACTGAAGTTCAGAGCAAAAATCCATCATATTCTGAAAATATATTTACCTTTAGATTGCCTTCTCATCTAGTGACAACTACTTTGTGACCAAATTTTATACTTAAATAAAATCTTCAATATTCACATAATTGGAGTACTTGTGTCGCCACGATCATAAAGTCATTTAAATTTATATATAAAGCTATTAAACTTATATTGGGATCGTAAAGACTCGTGTGATTATTTTAAAGCGATTTTTCCGTGAATAAAAATAATAAAAGATTGGAAAGATTTATTTTATTAAGGCATTCCTCTGGGACACTTGTCATGCGTGACAAATGAACGTGGGTCAAATTGAGCATTAAAAGTAAATGACTTCATATTCTCAGTGAAATGAAAAATGCGGAACCATTTGAAAATATTCAAATACGATCCTTTAAAACAGGGGGAGGAAAAAATCCCTGACAGTTAAAAATGTTTTCTTTTTTTTTGTTTCAATCAGTTTAGATCTTGTAGAATCTGTGAAAATAAGGATGTTCATATGTCGATTTTGCTAAGTGAATGTTTACATAATGCATGAAAATCAGGAAGACACATGTCTTGACAATGGTAATGGTGGGATTAACCGTTTCATTACGAGGAAACATTTGCCATTCATTGGCTGAACACAAATACGCAAGTACTTTCGACTGTACATTCAGTTATCTTCAGGCATGGAAATCATTTTGTTTTTGGTAATATTTAAGAAAGACTTTATACAGCTTATAATTTTAAAAAACAAGGATCATAACATTCATCGAGTGATCGGTAGGTTAATGCATCTTGAAAATTTTGTTAGTGAAGGGATTTTGCCATTTTATATCATTAACTTTACTAATTTACTTTTTGTATGAATGATTCATTGTAATATAAATTGAACTACACCACATATTTGATATATATGTATGTATATATATATATATGTCAGTATGTCTGTAGCCTTATGATAACAAAAACATTTATCTTGTACAAAAAAAATATTTATTTTTCCATCTCATCTCCTTCTTGCCAATGGTGAATATTAACCACATCGAAAAAAACAAATATTGAAAGACCTTTTTTCAGTGTATAAGACACAATTTCTGTTTTTGGTATTTCCTTTGACTAGATATTTACAAGTCACGGAACCTGGTCGTACTAATTGTGTTACATCACTCGAAGCGAACATGCCACTTCTTACCATAACAACAGAATATTTCATTGTCAACTAGATTGCTAATACATTGCTTTTTATTTATTTTTTTTTTTTGCGTTAGTTTTTTTCTATATATTTTTTTTAATAATTTAAAAAACAGCATTTATTTCGCCGACTATTTTACATATAAAAACTGAACTCCAGTCGCACGGAATAGAGTTTTTGCTTTTGAAAAAAAACAAACAAAAAACAAAAACAAAACAGTTTAAATAATATATTTAAACACGATTAAATAAGCAAAAATAGTTTTCCAATTACACGTTATACTTAACGTTTACAAGGTTGACAACATTTCTAAAACGGAGGAGAATTTCGAGCTGTCTTTTGGGGCAGAAATATGAGTCATATTCTGAAAATACATTGATGTAAAAATAAGAACGATTAATTCATTTCAACAACGATAACGATAAAAAAAAACGTCATTGTTGTAATTATGTTTACACCACGGCAATCAAAAGGTAAATGAAGAATTCAGTTTTGTTTCATTGGCTGGATCCCAGCTAACTGATAACTCGGACTTGGAGGAAAAGCAGGAAACGCATTTTCTAACTAAGAATACATATTTTCTAACCTCATTTTCAAGAGCCATTTTTTTTGTTTTTTTTTTGTTTTTTTTACAGAGACAGACATCAACAAAAAGCGGGTAGATAACCTACTGGGGCAACAAGCAGACGTCTCTCAGTTACTCATTAACATGTAGCAATTCATTTTTCAAAAAATCTGAAAGGGAAATATTACTTATACACCCTCAAACACATGCATGCATACACATCTGCATAAATAACGTCGTGGGCCTAAATTTTTCTTTTCGTGCGCAGCTACATCACACTATAATTAACTTCATATCTAAGAACTTCATTTCTCTGAACGAACTTTTTGGTGCATTAATATTACTTCTAGCATCAAAATGTCTCTCCTTCAGTATACCACGGGATAAATACATTTTTGATTGTAAAATTGCCTTTTTCTTGTGATTTCCTTCTTTTTTTTACCCACTACAACATTGTATCCAATTCAGGTGGCAGTGTACATCTTTTTCACTTTTGTTTTGTGAGCTTATTTTAAATTCATTCAGCTATTACGACAGGATCGGAGTGACTATACACAAGATTTTTCTAAATACAACGTGTGAAAGCACGTGCGATACTCTGCCCTCGTCAACCGCCAACCAGGGGAAGTAACACAGTTTCGGTGGGTAAGGCACCGAATTATTGCAAGCGATATAAGGAAGTAGGCAAAAACAAATATATCAAACTATACATCATAAATTCTCAAAATAAAAAATGATAAAAATCGATTTGAATTCATCGGCATATGCTACAAATAATTTCATCCTGCGATTGTTTTTGGAAATTGTATGATAGCCATTTTTTTTAATATATGTCATTGATGGGCATATAGCCGTACCCAACCACGTGATTCTGTTGTACGTGAATAAGTGTTGAATAACAGAAATGTCCAATGCCTCTTCTCCCGTCAAGCTCCAGGCCATTTCTTGCTCATTTATTAAAGCTATTTCTTCGTTGCGTTCAACGCTGTCGAGACAAATTGTTCAGCGGAGCGAATTTTCTGTTCTCATTCCGTTTCTCGTTTACACATCTCATTTTATTTTTCTTTGTTTACATTTTTTGTTTTTTTTCTTTTCTGAAGGTTTATGTACCTCTACCAGCATCTATCTATCTGTCTATCTATCTATCTATCTATCTATCTATCTACTTGGTGACGTTTGGCTTCTGTGGTTGTTCGAACCTAGGCAAATGCCAGAATGTAAGATAATGATTTTCCCCTAGGTGTACATGCCTTATGTTGAGACAATCTTTCAAATAAGGAGGACATTCTTGCCTTTTAAATCAGCATTCGAAATCCTAGATTTATTTAGGCTCAACATTTAAGACCATAATTTGTACTGCGTGTTTGATATTGAAGGAGTCAAATGATGTCTTTGACGTCATATATTGATTTCGCTGTGAAGATTTTTTCATCACAGAATATTTTATCAGTGAAACCATGATATTTGAGCTATCTGAGCGCTCTCTTGCGCCTTTTCATCTTCTTAATCTTTATCGTCTCCGTGAATAGTTGCATTAGTCTTTTAGTCGATGATTAAGACCCTAGTCGTGATGAATGCCCGGTCTGATGATGTTGAGGACTACTTTTAATTCTACAGCTATCTTATGCATAGGATTTTGTGAGATCTTTTTTTCAATTTTAGTCTTAAATGTCCTAATGAAAGCACCAATTCCACTTTTTGTTGACGCTGTCGCTAACCGGGTTACTCTGGTTGCTGTTGTTTATGCTATATTTGTAATCAACGACTAAGTTCGCATCAATTATGGTAGATATGCTTTTAGGGTTTAATTGATGCAGAAAACAAGTCTGATATTCTTTGCTTTTTGTGCTTCTGCGAAGCCGTTTTCAACGATATTTCTGGTTGGCGTCTATTAATAGCTAACAACATACTCTTTATTTTGTATTTAGTTTCACATTTGTCTGTAGTGGTTGTTTGGACATTTTAGTTCAAGTTTAACTTCAAATTCTGCTTTCCTTTCCCTTCTCTCTGTCTGTCTCTCTCAAACAATTTTGATTAAAAAGAATCGACAAGTTTTTTCTGTTAATTTTTTTATTCTATTTTTCCAATTTTCGAATAAAGTGTTGAGTATTGTATTCGAAGTTGTGAATAAAACGTCCGAAATTCATATTTTGTTATTTTCTTCAAATACTTTCAACTATCGCAGTCATTATCAAGTACCAATGTGGTGTTTGTATAGTAGTTAGAATTCCTTCGTCTACATCCTGCTATTCTTTGGAAAGTTCTGCAGGATGTAGACAAAGAATACCAGAATGTAAATGTTTGAAATGTTCTAGTATGACGCTATGTGTAACGATTATTGGTAACGAGTCCGCGCGAAACGAATGCGATTTTTATTTATTATATTTTATTTAATTTTATCATTTTATTTATTTATTTGTATTTTTCTTATTCTTAATACTATAAATCTTATACTAATAAATGCACACATTAAGTATATCACGTGCACTTCAATATAGCGTCCCCCTTGGTTAATTTAATTTAATTAATTAATTAATTTATGAACTGTTTATTTTGTATAATAATAATTTCTAGTGTTTTGAGTCTTTCCTTGCATTGGGTGCTGTAGAGCATTTCGGTAATATCCACTAATATTCGTTTTGTGTTGATAGTTGTATTTCAGTAATTTATGAGGTGCTGATTGATGCGTGCACAGATTGCACTGAATTTAGATAGGTGGCGCGCGCGCGTGCGTGTGTGTGTGTGTGAGAGAGAGAGAGATAGACAGAGACAATGATGAGATCTTTATTGGCATGATTCCCTTCTCAAAATCTGACAAAAGAGCTTCTTTGTCGAACAGAAAACATTTCTGCACCTCCACTTTTTAGTGAGAAGTTTTGTTAGTAACCAGGAGATTAATTACCGTTTGATTATGTTAGATAATACTAAAGTACTCTGCCAATCTAAATTCAATTACGATTTAAAATTTTGGAGGCTTTTTATCTTTATCCTTCTTTTATGCAAGTTTCATTAAAGCCGACTGACAAGGCACTGCGATTAAGCTTTTTATTTAATTTTCCTTGCATTCGTACAAGAATTTTCTTTTCTGGACATAAAATCTACAAAAACTGTCCAAATTTATATATTCCAAAGCTTTCGGCTAATCTATTAGCCATTATCAATGATATTTTTTAACTAAATTTGTAGATGTATCTTCTTGATACGTATATGGTAGTATGTCCAATATAATTATTCATGAATTTGATTTGATCAGAAACGAGGTTCTTTAAGGGACATGTAAAATCATAAATAACATTGGTCCTCTGTAATTTGGATCTTGCAGCGGAGTTGTTATTGTTGACGCTGAGGTGAGATGTTTGAAATTTTTTATAATAGATAATTAATTTAATTTTCTTGTTCTCGTCTGAGTTCTTTTTTTATTTTCGTATAACGTTTCTACAGGAAAATTCTTTCTCTCTCTTTCTCCTCCTCTCTCTCTCTCTCCTCCCCCCTCTCTCTCTCTCTCTCTCTCTCTATCTATATATATATATATATATATATATATATATATATATATATATATATATATTGCTCAAATCTGAACAAATTACCAAACATTCTTCCTTGTTTGGTCAGATTTTGGGAAATGGTTCTGATCGAGACCGTTCTTGCATCTTCCGAAATATATATATATATATATATATATATATATATATATATATATATATATATATATATATCATCTCTCACTTTTTTTCTCTCTCTTTCATTAACTTTGTTCCCTTGTTTTCCGTTTCGACGACTTTCTGTCTTTGTTCTCCGCATCTATTTTTTTCACAATAATTTTTAACTTTAATTGTTTTTCTCTGTTTTTCTTACCTCCAAGTCTTTCTTTGGTAATTATTTCCGTCTTTTTATGTCTATTAATAATTCTCTTTTTCTCTTTTCTCTCTCTCAAACGTTTGTATCATTGTTCTGATGCCACAATCTTTCTGTATATCTTGCACACTGTCCGCTTCCAATTTTCATTTTCTCTCTCTTCTTTCTGATCATTTCTCTCTTTCATTTTAGCTTCTTTCTCATTATCAGATCTACAGAGATGTTTTTTTTATTCACTGCTCTTTACTTCTCTGCCTATATATATATATATATATATATATATATCTTTTCATAGCCCACCTTCAGTTTTCTTTAATTTTTATCTCGTTTTCTTTTTCTATCATATTCTGTCGATATAGGGATGCTTTCCTTTGTCTTTACTTTTCTCAGGAAGGGAGTAAAAGAGACATGCTCGTGCCTTTCACATACTTCACGCCTTCGTTGCTATGGAGATAACGAAACATGCTTCGCGCCTGTGTCGCCTCGTGCTTTATGATGCAGGAGACAAGCGAAGGTGATGGTCGGTCGGGATGGAGTTAGTGGACGTAAGGGTCAGGATGGATTGCAGGAGGCAAGGAATGATAGCCTTTCTCTCTTATCGTCCGGTGTCCGAGCTGGTTATTAAATATCTGATAAGACCGTGTTAGGTATTTAACCTACCCTTTCTTTCTAAGACTCTTTCTTTCACTTTAATCCCCCCTCTCTCTCTCTCTTTCTAATTATTACTTTAAACCTTTCTTTTTCTTTCGTTCCTGTTGTTACGTCTTTATATAATTTTAGCGTTTCTCTTTTTCGTCTTCTACGTCATTCAGTCCGTGTTTTTTATCTTTAGCGCAGTTAATATTTTTCTTTCTTTCTTTCTTTCTTTCTTTCTTAGCGATTTTTCATTACATTTTTCTTTTTCCTTCTTTCTTGATGTCTTTATTTTATTTTTTCTATCTCAGCCTTTTTTTCTTTCTTTGTTTTTCCTCTTTCCTCAAATCTTTACCTTTTCCTAATCTTCCCTTTCTTTTTCAATCTGCCACTTAAATAGCCAGTTGCGTAACGATCACTGTTCAAAAGAGTGAGAAGAGTGTGTAGAAAAAGATGTTTTGGATTTCGCGTTGGGGAGGTAGTGCGTGAGGAAAGGACAGAAGTCGACTGCCTCAGAGCATCAGACAAGCACTCAACTCGCCGATCACAATCCATCAACCCCACCATCATCATCATAATCATCAGCTGACATCTTTTTCCCTAGGCCTATTTCTTGAATTTACATCATAATCATCATCTTTAGTATCCAATTACTATCTGCAGCATCAGCATTGTCATCACAACAATCACAACTCTAATAAAGTCTTAATCACATTCTTTGGCATCATCATCATCATCATCATCATCATCATCATCATCATGTACTTTTGGAGAAAGAAAAGCATCATCATATTCAACATCATTTTTACCACAATCACCAGCATCATCAATGTAGTATTTTCGTAATCCTTACACCACGCACGTTCCACTACTACTACTACTACTACTACTACTACCGCTATTACTACTACTACTACCACCACCACTACTATCATCATCATTATCATGTATTCAACGCCATCACCTATTCTTGGTCAGTACCACTATGGCCTTCACCACCACCACCATCATCATCTTCGTTAGCACCACCCTTAGGACAACTACGTATTCCTACGCAATATTACCATGACTTCTACCATCATCATCATCATCAGCATCATCATCATCATCATTACACTCGCCTTCACCACAATCATGTTTTTTTTAAATAAACATAATAATAATAATAATAATAATAATCAACAGCAACAACAGCAACAACCACCATTGTCTTTCTGATTGACACAAGGATGCAATAAATATTCGATTCACTACATCTCACCTTGTGGTGAATGATGTTATTTAAAGAGTTCGGCTGAAAAAAGTTAGTGACTCCGTGTACTTAGCAGAATAAAATGTCAACAATCCTATGCAAGGTACTTAAAGACATCTTGGAAATGTCTCGTATATTTTGTTAGCAGATACCGGGACAGAATTTTTCTTTTTATGTTTGTTGTTTAAGAGGTCGTAAAGCTAAGTATACTTTTGCCTTAAAATCTCTGACTACTTGCGATTATAATGTACTTACTGATAATTTTGTCACTGAAAAAAAAAATGCCGATGACAGAATTGAATTTACGTTTTAAAATGTCTCTGAAACAAGGGATTCAGAAACCTTTCTTTGAAATATTTTATATTCTACTCATAACAGTTCAAGGTCAATGCATATTTCTTCTTCCTCAGAAGGGGACATAACTTTTAAACTTGGTCGTTTGATACGTTGTGTTCTGAACCCCACGACCCCCAAAAAAAAAAAAAACAAAAAAAAAACGAGCCTAAGGAAGCAGCACACTTATTGAGAGGAAAAACTTTCGTAAAAGATATGAAAAATAGAATAAAATTATATTAGAATGATATTATCCAATACCTACCAAGACCACTTTATACAAATCGGTTTTTCAAGAAATTACATTAAACTGATCCAGCCGTTTAGTTACTGCATCTAAAATCTGTTTCTAACTTTTCTATATTGCATGCAGACACGTCGATACAAACTCGTACATACAAACAAAAATGCAAATCTATATTATATGTGCATGACTGGTTATGTGTTATAGTGGCAATATACATGGGTAAATAATAATAATAATAATAATAATAATAATATATATATATATATATATATATATATATATATATATATATATATATGTGTGTGTGTGTGTGTAGGGGGTGTGTATGTGTAAATGATTTTAGTCTACTGTATGCGCACGACTTTTGTGAATAATTCTCATATAGTGAGTCATCGATTGCAAAGGCAAATCAGGTTTGGAATCGTGCGCAAACTCACTCAAGAAAAATGAAATCCAACAAACTGAGAACGACATGAAACAAAAAGGCATGGTGCCTATACAGGCCCGACATACATATATACATACAAGGGTGAATCAATAAGTCTATAGCCTAGCACGAGATTATTATTCGAATTTTAATCTGAAATTTACATTGCATAATGTTTAAACTATGTGATGAATATTTACTATTGAATTGAAGTGTCTTGTCTTTGTCGGTGACTATGTTCAAAATATATTTATTATGTAAAATAAATGCTTTCAAAACACACACACACATATATATGAAGAAATATAGTCTTAAAGTGTGCTATATTTATGGGATAAAGTGCTCAATATCGGAGATAGAGCGTGTGTAAATATAAAAGTGAACATAGAAGTCAACACTTAGAGGCGACAGTCTGTTTCATGCTAGATGCAATATTCAGGCCAACAGTTGCATCAAACATGAAACAGACTGTCTTCTCTAAGTGTTGACTTCTATGTTCACTTTCATATATATATATATATATATATATATATATATATATATATAACTTTGGTTTGGTTTGGTTTGTTTTGCAGCATATCAATTTCAATGGGATATTTAATGCCAAGAAGATTTTTAGAATACATTCGTATGAATAGAATATGTATTCTTTGTAGGAAATCAGTTTGAAGATCAGGTTTCATTGACGAATTTTTGTACAGAGGTTTTTTGTCAAGAGTCATATCAATTGCTGGGTAATATTTTTTCAAAATGTATTGCTGTTATTTTTACTATAAAACTCTATTTTTTTTACTTTCATAGTGTTTTGACCCCATTTTTTTGTGGGGGGTAACTATTTGCCGATAGCTGGGACCCTAACAGATGCTACCACCTCGGTTCAGGGTGGACCTGGGAACAGCAATTAAGAGGCCCTCAAAACCTCCCGATTAGAAGCTTTACTGCCGGATGTAGTTTAATGTTATACACAGGACGATATATATATATATATATATATATATATATATATATATTATGACATTTTTTTATGTTTTTTTCTTTATATATATATATATATATATATATATATATATATATATATATTCCTAAGTAAGTTCAGTCTCATCTGAGACCATCTTCAGAAGGTTAAAATATCTGTGAATGTGTATAGCTCCGTAAATTCAAAATATTTTTTCACTGTTCGTTTACAGTGTTCCAGAATTCGAATATTCAAGGGGGGTGTAACTTTTGTATTTTTTATTTTAATCTTTACAACGACGATGTTGACGAGACGGCTTACGTTTCACTTGAATGAAAATAGTTCAATCTCAGCACATTTAAACGAATACTTATATCGACATTCACAGTTGAGACAGATATTAGTTGAAAATACATTAGTATTGCATCAAAATAATAATAAGCAAAACCTAAAATTTTGGAAGCTCTTTATATAAAAGAATTGCGGCCAAAAATAAATAAAGTCAACTATGAGGATAGCAACAAATTCGAAATTTGTCACACTGTAAACGAACAGTGAAAAAATATTTTGAAGTTACAGAGCTACAGTAACACAACCACAGATATTTTAATCCCCTGAAGATGCTCTCAGATTAGATAGTAAGTACTTGGTAAAATAAAAATTATTTGAAAGAAAATTTTGGAATTTTTCTTAATCAGCGACCAAGAAATGAATTCGTGGACTTGAAAGGATTAAAACTAAAATAAATAGACATAATACGTCTGAATTATCTAACCAAACCTGCTTGAATTAAAAATATGCTGCATATATATATATATATATATATATATATATATATATATATATATATATATATTTCAAATGTTCATTTTCTAGATAAGCTCTTCCCTTGGAGGATTGGCACAAGACAATCTTCTTGCACATTTTCTCCTATCTTGAATTGATACCATACTTATCTAAACTTATTAATATTAATCTATATATCTGTCTGTCTGTCTATCGATTTGAAACGATTTATAGGTGTCTAGTCAATCATGTTCCTAGTTAAGTGTATCTTTCCAAAGACAAGCGTATTTCATAAAGTAAAAAATACGCATAAGAAAAACATCTGTCTAGATTTTTCGAAATATAAAGAAAACAAATTGTGCAAAAAAGAAAAAAAAATCAAAGAACCTTTCCTTCACAAAAAAGTAAGAAGGAAACAATCAAATTTAGTAATGAAAAGATATGAAGACAGAAAAAAATCCCTCAGACTCTCTTTAGATGTGACATAAGTAAATAAAAAGATGCTGAGATTAAAAACAAATAATTATCATTTTCTTTGTTCACCTCATTTTTATTTCAAATTTATTTTCTCAAATTTTATTTTTTAATTTTTGCCTTCTCTCTCTTCAGCTTGTTCTTTTGTTTGTTTGTTTTTAAATAACCTGTTTAATATTACATTATTTAAATCTTAAATTTTCACTTCCTCCATTTTTCGACACTTCAATATTTTTCTTGCTTCATGTTTCTTTCTTTTCTTTCTTTTCAACATTTGCTATTTTTTATCATATAAAAAAAGGAAAGAAAGAGAAAAAGAAAGAAATATATATATAGAGAGAGAGAAAGAAAAAATGAAAATAAACCAATACAGAAGTGTTTTTTAGGAGAAGAATGTGAATCGAGAAAAAGCTATCTCTTACTTCATATGAATTTATATAATAATGTCTTTGATGATTCACGCTTCGACCTTTCATTCCATTAGTATAGTAGTATCAGCTGGTTGTCACTGAGGAACATATCTTCTGAAATCGTTTACATTTTCTTTAGCGTTCTTTCTGTTCATGTTTCCAAATCGATCAATATTGCCGGAAACCTCAATTCCACCAATATTATTAGGACACCTCACAGTAAGTCAAATATTCGAGTAGAACCAAAAAAACCTGATTTCTCATAGAATTTTTAATTCTCGGGCGAGGTCCCCATGGAACTTGGTACTTTTTCTATATACTCTACTTTTTGCGATCAGTCAGAAGAGTTGCGTCTATAATCTCACTAAATTCTTTCCCTTCATATTAGCCAATTCTAATTTCCTTCTGTAGATGTGACCATCCGTCTCTATATATTCTTTACTTTCTCAGTCAATTTAATATTTGAGCTCATACCATTCATCAATATCACCCAACCTTAATGCATTTGCATATTTACCTACTTTGTATTAGAAATTTTTCATTATTCATTCTTGATATTGTCCAACGAGAAATCAAAGATTTTACTGGATAATGGAAATATGCCATTTAGCGAATTAACAATCTGGTAAAAGCATAATGAGTTTTTTTGTCTGTAACAACGTAAGGAAGACGGTCAAATGAAACACTCTTGGAGCCATTTGCAGTCCCCACCCACCCAAAGAAAGAACGTGACACAGTACATACCTAATCAGAACAACATATATCTAATCAGAACAACATATATCTAATCAGAACAACATATATCTAATAAGAACACAACATTCTACAAAACTGACACAACATTAATTAACCCATTTTTAACTGAAATTCCACTCAGTAGTTGACTAACACAGTTACAAGGAACGACTAATCCCTGGGTCAATTTGCTGCTTCACTTATGATGTGGTTTGCAATGTCGTCTTTTTACCCACATCAATAGTTTACTGCTTTTTAGCAAGTTTTACCTTGAAGGTAATGCTTCTGATGTTGTGTTCTTTTCTCTTGAAATTCCGTCTCTCTTTTTAGATGGTCCTATTTTTTCTTACATATTTCTATTTCTGATTTACAATTCTGGAGGGTTTTATTTCATTCTACCGTTTCGTATTTTTCTCGGTGTTGTTGCATTGGACAAGTTTTATTATAATAGACAGAAGTGAACTTTGATACTGAAGAGTTTCATTTCTTTTCTTTTTCTCTTTAAATGAGACAATTGCAAACTGACAATTGCGAAATACAAAAAAAAAAAAGAAAGAGTGACATATATAATGACTGAATCTCAAAATGTTCACAATATGAAGAATGATGATTTTCATTTTACATGCAAAATATATATCGGTCAGAAGATTTTATTGGAAGCACTTTAAACAAACTGCTTAGGCATTTCAAGTACAAATACACCAGTCATTCTCGTCATCATAGGGACGGCAATTGGTATGCTACTATTGTAATCGTATTTACAGACGTACTTGAAGAAGCGGATAAACAAAGGAAATATGCTTACAAAGTCTTTCATATATACATTCTTGAAATCAGTAATTTTAAGCTTTGTGTCTATTAAAATTGTTCAGTGCATTTATGTTAAAAATTGTTTTGAGGTGCTCTTGGGTCACTTGGTGGTTGAGGTAGTTACGTATCTTTTTGCCTGCGCCAGTATCTCGTGAATCTAGCCAGTTGCGTTCGAACGTTCGAAAAATTGGCCCAACATAGTCCCTATGAAGCCGTAAGCTTAGTAAATATTTATAAGAACGTTCGATGATTCTCAAGTTTTGCAAAGACGATTGCAGGAGTGATGTATGTTAACTAATTTATTAATGAAACATGCTTGTGTGTTCGCGTGTGGTAGTCAACTGTTATTGGTAATATCACTAAGCATACTAATTCTGCATGCAGTTACTGTGGTCCCAGTTTCTTTGTCATATTGTTTTCAAATTACTGAAAAACAAAAACATGCCGATTTGTCCAAAAATAAAAAAAACCCAGAAGAATTTCACTAGCTTGATGACTTATGTTAGGTGGGGTTGCAATGAAAGCATTTATACTTAAATATATATGAGAGATGATTGATAAGTAAGGTCTCCAAACCGGGTGGTGACGCTAATAGTGAAGAATAGAAACAGGTTTTTACATGCATTCATTATTGTATGTATTCGTAAGTCTTGTTCAGTTGTGTTTAGTGTTAGTTCACTATGTAAAGGCATCTAGTAATAGCGTTCGTTATTTATAATTACTATATTCTAGTTAGGTATAAATCAGCAACTAGGGAGCCATTCACAAAGAATTTCTACCAGAGAGAATGGTGTTTAATGGTAAGGTATAACTTTATGAGCTTTCAAGCAAGAAATCTGCAGAATAAGGCCTGAAAAGTCCATTTTTGATATCACAATAATGCAAGACTGCACTACAGTCAACATTCAGTGCAAATGGTGGGAAATTCACGTTTGTTGCATCCTTTCCATACAGCACCAATCTGGTATCATCAAAGTGTTTCCAAAACTGAAATAAACATTGAAAGGCCAACCTTGTCCCTGCGATGCTGAACTAGGAGTTGTGTTTCGCAATTGGTGCTAAAGTAGATCAGAAAGTAGATCAAAATTTAACCACGTGACCAAACAGATATTTTTTGGCTCGCTCGATAATTTTCCATTTATTCATTTGTCAAATCTTTGTTAAATAATGTTTGCCATCGAAGCAAATTAAAACATTACTGTCATTATGACCCTCAACAATAACTGCATTATAGCCAATAACATATCACGATATCATCACTATGACCACTATCATTACACCCCCCCCCACTGTTTGATCAATACCATAACATTTACTGCAACTGAATGACCTCATTATTCCTTGGGTGGCGAAGAGATTGGTTTACCCAAGTGTTCACTCACCTACTTTCGTTTCTATTAACGATTGTGGCATGGCAGTTACAAGATCTTTTTGTTAGTATCTCTGGTGATATTCTGGAACTGGTTTGGCGAGTTTAGTTTGCATTCTGGCGAAAGGTATGAATCCACCTCTAGCAAATGTATTCTCTAACCTTGGTTAGAAGCCAGTCTAAGAGAAGGTGAACTCTAGATTCAAAACTGTGGAGAAGGCAACGGGAAACCACTGCATTATTTTCCCCCAAGAAGTTTTATCCCTTCACAAATACTAAAGAAAAAAAATCTATGTAGAGCCATGATCGTATATGTCCTGAACAGATATGGTACTTAAAAAAAAAAAAAAAAAAAAAAGATTCCGGCGATGAAACCAAGATGTGGATTCATTCTTTCCCCAACGGCAGATGTGCAAAGCTGCAATTCGAACTCGGTTTGTCGATTCCGTTTTCCGGGTTGGAACACAAACTTACACCTTCACTACTTATAGTGCAATCAATCAACGAGTTCACCATTATCACCACCGCTACAATAAGAAAGCTGCCTCAGCACCGCCGCCGCCATCATTATCATTCGCATTGTGGCTATCCATTATCTCACTACTTTTATGCTACCATCTGCATCACCCTTCTTGTCATTTCGATTAAAAGATGAATCTCGGTTTTTTCTAATTGCCGACATCTCCGTAACCCACGTGACCTTACACCATTTCAACGCTGAGAACCTCCATTTTTTTTCGTCCGTCTGCACAACACTTGGCAAAGGACGGCGTCGCCTCTTGCTTTTTGATCGAAGCGAATTATTTTCACTCAATGGCGTTCGCACGTCCAAATTGCTCCGACCACATTCTTTCCTTCTTTCCCTCTCTGCTTTTATTTGTTCTTGTTTTTGTGTAGATAATAAGCCGTCTTTCTTGTTGTCGCCTTTTTCTCTCAGTTTTAACACTCGTTCTTTGTGCAGTGTATTTTATTTCTCTAAACCTTTCTTTCTTTTTTTATTACCTCTTCGTCCTTTCTGTAATATAACTTCTCTCTCTCTCTCTCTCTCTCTCTCTCTCTTTCTTTCTTTCGTTTTCTGAACCATGCATAGGCAATTTACATTTAAAAACCACTTTGCCTTTCTTTTTTCCTTTCGACTCACTCTTCTAAGCTTTCTCGTTTCTTTCATTTATTTTCATCTTTTTTTTCCCTATTTTTCTGTTTCTCTAATTTCCCTTTATTTCTTTTATTTTTTTTCTATTATTATTCGTTATTAATCGACTCCCATCACCCCATTGCTCACATTGCTTTTCATTCGTTTCATTTCTTCTTTTCTCTGAGCCGAACAAAATCTCTTCTGAATTTTCTCTCATTTTCAGCAAAATATATTTTTTATTTTGTCGTTAATTACTTCCACTAGACACCTTTTCCTATCCACGCCTTTTATTTTTAGCCAAACTCTCATTTTCAGAAACTTACCTTTTTCTTTTCAGTTTACACTGACGATTTTACTGACGATTTTCTGATTTCGCTAAAGAGAGCCGAGAATCTGACGAGACAGAAGGAAAAAAAAACGACAAGCAAAAGAATAAATTAATTCTAGCGCGCCTCACCGTGGACAAGCGTTTAGCATTTCTTGGTTTCACAGATCATTACTAGTCACTGCATGTCGAAAATGTGTAGCCTTGTAGCAGACTAAATTAATATTTCTAAGTACTTATTATTACTACTGATAATAATAATTATAGTTTATAAAAGAGAAGGAAAAGAAAACGGAAGATACACGCTTAGGCGATCATGTATCTTTCGATACATGACTGACGAGGCAGATTTTTTCCGCAGTAGGTTGCCATTTCTTTCTGCGGTAGACCAGTTGCCATCCAAGGCTACAGAACCCGGTCTGTCCTACTATTTACCCATAGCTGGAGGGAGAAGAAGAGTATTCATACCTTTCCCAAGCGCGTAAGTTAATGTAATGGATTTGACTGGAATTCGAACTCTCCTCTCCGATTCCTCAATTCGAGCCGCTATCTATTACTTCACTGTGGAAGGTAGAGAAGGAGGATAAACGAGGAAAACTTTGTAAAAGTAGGAGGAGAGGAGAAAAGAAAGGAATAAGACGAACGGTTTAACAAAAGAGAGAGTGGGTGAAAGAAAGCGAAAAAGAGAGGAAATGTAGAGGAAGAAGGAGAAAAAAGAGAGGAAATGTAGAGGAAGAAGGAGAAAAAAGAGAGGAAATGTAGAGGAAGAAGGAGAAAAAAGAGAGAGAATCGAAAGAAAAAAATATGAAATGCAGAAAAGATGTTTTAAGTAAAAGCTGAAGAAGAAAGAACACACAAAGAAAAGATAATAATAATAATAATTTTTCATCATCATTAATACTACGTGGAGTTGCTGAAAAGTTATAGACTTAGCAAAGAATATCTTCCAAAAATAGATTCAGTTGTTTGATCATTTGGTCAACAACAAAAATGATAATAATAATAAGTAGTAGAGTAGTGAACTCTTGTTGCATCGTTTCTACCCTTGCATCTCCTTATTAAATTATAATATTTTTTTATAATGGCTGTTTCATATTTTCGACCTCAAAATGGCTGCTATACAGTCTTTACTACTGATAAGAATAACAAATGTACTAACACCATAGTCATAATCATCATCACCATCATCATTACCATTAAACTAATAAAACTGTTACAGTTTTTCCCTCCGCTTATGAAATAAGAAATAATAATGAATGATTGACTTAATGCTATCAGCAACTCAACTACTAAAATAAATACGAAGTGGGTGCTGAAAAGTTTTCAGTGAAGGATTTCCAAAATTACGATGTTTGGGGGTGTTGGGCTGAAGAATTTTTAAGTCCACCACGTAATGATGAAAAAAAAAAACGGTTTTAATGCCATAGTCACGACGACGACCACCACCACTACTACTACTGCGACTATTATTACTAATTCTGTTACTGCATACTTCCAATTCTTGATTTTTCTTATTTAACAACTACAATTTATTATAGCATAATGTTGATGCCTTTTATTAAAAAAAAACAAGGTTCTGCATTCGGTTACTAAATTCTATCTATAAATATTACCATCAGTATGAGTTCTCTAAACTACCATCAGTACTAAACATTATCTGTAATAATACTATTAATGCAACTGCAACCTCTGTAAATGATGATGATGGTGATGATGATGATGATGATGATGATGATGATGATGATGATGATGATGATTGTACAACATCCTAAAATAAGAAAAAGAAATTACAGAGCGGTATATTGCGTCTGACTAATCACTTAACTTCTCTTCAAGGCTGGTGATGACTTTGCGATTAATTTCTCAACGTCGACTTCCTGCCGGCAATTTTTAGCCAAACGTGTCAAATCATATCTGCCTCTTGATTCCCACGTCTTTACGTTGCGATGGCCCCGATTTTTTATTCATAAAGATATTGCTTTGGCTTACAGTAATGGAACCGTGACATTCGGTGCGGCTGGGGGATACGGGCTAAAATCTTTCTGGCTAAAAGCAGTGTCTTGGACCTCTTTTTATCTTTCAACAATGTTGCCTTGATGAAATAGTCGACCTAGGGTTCGGTTCCTGAAGTGGTCACCAGCATTTAGGGAATTTGACGCACTTCGAACATTACTTATTCTGGTAATGGGGATCACCACATCGCAGGTCAAAATAATGTCCCAGCAATATATTCGCATATCTCTCTCTCTCTTTATATATATATATATATATATATATATATATATATATATATATATATATATATATATAATATATATAATTTGAGATACTTGAATATTTCCTAACTGCGGTAGTGGTCACATTGTTTGAAATCACCTAAAAGAAAAAAGATTTAAAATTTTGGTTTTTAAAACAAGCAGGGCCTCTCCATTTGGAGGATTAGATTTCTGATTTACATTTCTTTCTATTTTGCCTTCTGTCTAAAAGAGATCATGTATATATATATATATATATATATATATATATATATATATACATTTCTTATTACTATAAATGTTATTTTTAGTGGGGGCACGTGTTTGGGTTATTATCCTTATTTTATTTATTTTTTTAAGCAATGAAATTAATAACTATCGGCTCAGACCGAGAAAAATATGGCGCCTACCTTTTTCATCAGAGGAATCGCTTTTAAAACCGAAACATTCCAGGTTACTCAAAGAAGGTTACCCTGATAGAGCAACGTTTGAATTATCTATCTATCATGAAACAGAAATTGTATAAGTGGGCACACACACATATAATATGATTTTACATAATAGAAACAAGTGACTTTCATATATATATATATTTTTTTCATTTTTATATACAAATAGAAGCATATCCACGCATGCATCTGCACAAACATTTCCCTCTCGTACCGAATAAAGTATATGCCTCACTATACTTTGTGTAATGCCTGTATATTGTTGTCAAAGAGCGCGACTTCGAAAGGAACTGTAAAATCTAGGTTTGACAATTTTCCTTTCATTTTATTTTATCCGCAATATCTAGTGTTAAATTTAAGGTGTGCAATAAATACAGGTACATGTGTGCAACATTTTACAATATCCTCTGTTACCATAATATTGGTAAAGATTTCACATATATATTGTGTAGCTTGTATGCATGAAAAAGACATTTCTAGACGTATAAATAACACGATAGAGTCTGTCTATATTTCTGAGATGAGGTATTATGTATAGTATTTACATTAGTCGGACTATTGTCCTCATCTTTGTCGCCATATTTGTCATAACGTTTCGGCCATTGTACGCTGAGAGAAGGGAGATCACCGTCCCCTGTGGGATCATGATAAGATCATAGACAGGGAACACCATTGGAAAATTCGAAAACTTAAGGAATCAGTACATATGCTAGGCCACAAAAATCTCCTGAGCCGATCAAGCATAGAAATAAATACAATATGGGAACCAGTAATAAGGAGTGTCAGAGAAAAGCAATGATAACAAAATTGCAATATGAGCACTGGTAAAAAATGGTTGCTGAAAACATTAGGTTTATAATACCAAGAAGTTCATACCCAGATGTCCTCAAGGACATATGGCACAGTGGATAAAGGAGTTGGTTAGATCCAGTGACAAACCCAAAGAAGGTGAGTTCAATACCCAGTTAAGGCAGTGGAGAACTTTCAGAGGGAAAATTAGCAGGAGATAACTAATAACTGAACTCCATTAAACATGGCACGTGGAACTAGAACAGTCTACCCCAGTGATCGAAATAAAGGGTTCAGTTCGAAATTCCAATCTCCTGAAGAAGGCCGGAGCGTACAATGGCCGAAACGTTGTGACAAATATGGCGACAAAGATGAGGACAATAGTCCGACTAATATAAATACTATAACGCGATAGGTTTACACATGTCACCCTCGACACATATATATATATATATATATATATATATATTATGAAATGTCTGACAATTATTTTTATACGTTATTTTTATAGATACAAATATTTAAGTAAATGCCCCGTTTAAACAGTATTAACAGCATTTACCGGCCTGGTTGTCCGAGAAATCTCAAAGAAAATATGTGTCTTCCGACAGGAATTGAACCTGTATCCTACACGGAACCGCCATATGCATATATTGTAGTTCAAAAACAGTAATTTAACCATTCTAACCAAACGCTTCTTTTGTAACTAAACGTCAGGCTAACTGTTGGATAAAACCTGGATAAACCTTTCAGACGTGAATTCGATGCAGCCAAGGCCTGCAAATTACAAATATTAAACAGACTAAAAAATCAGAAAGTGACGCACAAGGTCCATCATCCCCAGTGAAGGCAGTAATCAACATCAGTCAACACCAGCTGAGTGCCTCTGAGGAGTCAGTACTAAACAAGCGTCTAAATTTCGCCACAACCATCAGGCGGATACCATGCTTGGACATCATTGCTCGAATCGAGGAAATAGCCTTGAACATCCCTCTGGCTCGGGCGGATGAGCTAAGATGTAAAGTGAGACATACTGGAGAAAGCCAAGCCGCCCAAATCAAACATCATGAAACTGGAAAGGCAGGCAATTAGAACCCTACAGAGGAATAAAAACATCATCATACTG